CGCCATTGTGCAGGGGCTGGGTGCTGCCGTGGACACAGAGCTGAAAACGAAGTGAGTCGCACAAAAATAAGCTGGAAGGGGCTAGCCGTAATTTCAAGAGGCCGCACATTATGAGTGAAAAGTATTGCAGCGCCTGGAACCTTCAGATGCTCCATTGAATTTGCGGCGTTTTTTCCTAATTTAGGCCCAAGGCAACTGTACAGGATTGGAATGACTGACCTTCATCGCACGATTCAAACCTCTGAAAGTTCGGAAGTGTTTCTCAAGTCTTGTGACATCCTTCGACCCTAAACATCAAGCCCGTGAGAACGAACTTTTGTCTAGGACCACCTCAAAACCTTAAAAGAGCTTTAAATAAGACTAGGAACAGCATTCCATTGTAGTGCCCATAAAAACTACGCTAGAGCATACCCCGAAATCCTATTCTAACTATTGAGGCCCCTATATTTAATTCAGCCCCCGTAGTCTTAGCACAGCAGCCTCGAGGAATTGCGCCTGAATTACCAGTTATGCTTCTGTAGTGCTCGCCCGAAATATGTTTTTAGATTTGTGCTTGTAATAGATTTCCAAAGTGTTGTTTTCATATCATTGTTATTATGGTTCTAAGGGCGCTTAAGACCTGGGAACCCTCATATAGGCCATGGAGCCTGACAGACACAGGGCTTAGGTGGGGTTCGAGGACTCTGTTAGTTGCAACGAAAATGAAGCACTTTGGTATCGAATTGCCCTACCAATGCCCAGGCCGTGATTATGGTGACAGGCAGGCGGCTTAGTGGCTTCCCAGTTTGTTTGTGCAAGGAGCTGGGTAAACCCTAGCATACAAGTCGACAGCCTGCACGCTCATTGGTACTTATTGGTGTGTTAGTAACTTCGAAACTATTCTATTTTGCGATTACGTCTAATAGCCGCCGTCTTTAGCAAGCCAGACTGTGGGCCTTAGTCTGAAACCACGGCCCTAGGTGGACCACTCAGTCGTCACTTTGCTGCCATCGTTGGTCTCGACAAATACTTTCGCTGGATTATTCCTTAGATTGTGTAGTTATTATGTAGCTAAAGTACGACATGCCCCTCCAAGGTCTACTCATTCATGGATGCCGATGCCACTACGTACCGATGTTTCGAAATGGGACCGAGGTTTTCTCTACATGCCCCTGTGCGCTCTGCTGAGCGCACTGATGTTCCAACGGCGCTATGGTTGGTTGGAGGCCCCCCCCCTGACGTCCCCACTTTGACCTTGTTGCAGGCGGCGATTGTGGGCTTGCTGTCATTTTTCAGATCGACCACCACAGGTGGCGACCTTCCATCGGCTGTCTGTGTACGTAGCTTCAGTCGTATGTGTGAGACGCCGCCTCAGCTTGGGACTCGGGGCTGCCGGTTCGATCTGGTGAGGGGACCCTAATATAGCACCCTAAATAGTAGGATCCTCATTATAAGGACCCCAAACGAAGGTATGTGTGGTTGCCTGCGCTTCAATGCACATGCTCCGGTTTTGAATATGTTTGAAGTTTGTCTCATATACTTGTATGCAGATACAATACTGTGTGTATGCAGATCCAGTCCAGGCTCTTAGCGCAAGAGTTGCGAAGATTCCAGTCTGCTACGCCTACCACGAAACGTGTTGCCCTCATATGTTCGGCTCGCTCTGTAAAGTTACTCATTCAAACTCGTTCAACTAGTGGCCTGCTGCAGTGAAGGCCCGAAAACTCCGGAGGTTCACGGCCTCGCCTTCCTCACCCTGAGCATCATGATCTTCGCTGAATTGGGTACTCGCCGGGACCCTCAGGAGTTTAGGCCTTGAGGAAAGACCACAAAACCTCGGAGATCCTGAAACCACAACAGTAAACCCTACAAGCTACAGCGTAGCCTCACTTCAAGTCTACACCTAAAACCAAGACCCACAAGTTCAAGAGCGGAAAAGTGTCATGTGGTGATATTCGGGCGTTCCCCTTAGGGAAATTGGGAGGAGTTGGTCACGCCTGACCGTCCAGTGCATGATTCTGGGATTGTGGTTTCACGGTTTAGGCCTCTTTAATGGGTTTGGTTTGGGGGTTCAGGATTTAGGATTTCAGGATGTCTGGTCCAGGTTCGAGGAGATGCAGGCATGAGGGCATGTGCACTGCCCCTCCTCAAAAAAGGTGTAGGGCATTGGAATTGGGGTGTAGGGCGGCCTGCCCAAACGTGCCAGAAGTGCCTTGCCCACACGTTCTACAAACACGAGACATGGTGCTTTTGTTATTAAGCATGTCGCGGATGGGACTGTTCGGCTCTGAAATACGAGTGCCTTCCCGGCTTGTAACCAGATGCCCGACCCTAAACCCTAAACCAGAATCCTGTCTAAATCTTAAACCCGAAAGCCTAAAAACCCTCCGATGGAATTTCAGGGGAAGGCCCCGACAGCACCGCCCAGCACAAGAGCCAGGCTCTACCTGTGGGAGTTGGTGTTTTGGTTAACGGTTATCGAGAAGGGTACCTTATTTACAAGGGGTCCTTTTATTCAGCTAGGATCCCACCAGGCAGGGTTATGCTAACCACGGTTCCAGGGTTGCGGCTTTGGGGAGATAGTCTAAAGTCTAAAGCCTGTATCCGTTCAATCAATGTTTGGTGTGTAGGGTGTGTGCTTACGAAGGATGCCGAGTTGGGGGTGCGGGGCTGTGGACTCGGGGTACTACATCACCGCCCTAGGCCGCTCTACCTGGAGCGCCCGTCTCTGCAAGCATAGGCCAGATCAAGCCGCACTTTCAGTAAAGACTCCCAGAAGCGCTGAAAGGCAGTCGACTTCCAATTCCTGTCCATCGCCTGGCACTCAAACGGTAAGGGGAGTTCTTTAGCTTTTTGTGTGTGTGTGTGTGTTTGTGTTTGTTTGGTTGGTTGTTTGTTTGTTTGGGGTTGAGAGTTTCGGCGTGTCGACGGCTACTTGAGTCTTTTCGGTGGTTCGGGTCAGGATGAGTGAGAGCTAGCTGTTACCCGGTCATACAGAAGCAGACGATCGACTAGTGAGCCTAGCTGTGACCTTTCCGCAGCAGCTCGTGCTGTCCGACTTACCTGCCCAGAGCCCCACAACACCAAACTCCTGAACCTGAATCCCTTTGTGAGAGTCGGAGATTTAGGCAGGTGTTGGGATCGGCAAGCTTAGCTCGAGGATGCGGAGTGTTAGAGCTTCAGGTTCTGAGGCCTGCGCCTGGACCAGCAGACATAGCGTGATTTTGTTTGAGAGGGGGAGGGGTATACCGCGTATACTCTAGTGCAATGTAGGGACATCCATCAGGCCCCATTTTGATACTGGCTCTTCGGCTTCGGGCTTACAGGAATCCGCAGCCCGCAGCTGACCCCGGAACACTCATAAAACGTCCTTCGGGAGTTTACCATACCGGGACAGGTGGTCTCTTGTTTGGCGGCGGTCTACTTGGAGAAGGTGATCAAACCCAAGTATTCCACCAGGACTCAAAATGCTACTGGGTTTCAGCTTGAACTGCGCTAACTTGCGCGATGTGCATTCGCACGTATGAACTTTGCAAGGGATAGATGGTCTTCATGCTTTCGGGTTTGGAGCATGGGCTTCTGTTCCACACGGCATTGGGTTTGGGCGGGCAGGGGTCCACTTAAGGCCTCCACTCACCGAAGCCTTGAGTCACAATCCGAAGCCTTGAGTCACAGCTTTGACAAGGAACCTCTTTACTGGGTTCTTGTTACGGGATCTAATTTAAGTTATCATAATAAGGAAACCCTATTATTTACTTTAGATCCCTATTATGGCATTATGGTAACTTAAATTAAATCCTTTAACAAGAACCCAGTTTAAGATTCTGCCTCAGGGGTATTAAGACCTCCTGTCTGCCTCCAAGCCCTTCAGCACACTCGAAGTTCAAGCTTGCCACAAGAAGGACCCCGCACATGGCACCCAAACTGGAGCAGTGCCTTGCGCTCCGATCCGCTCAAAGCGCGTGGCCATTGTCATTTTGGCTCAAGAAGTGAAAGTTCGTAGCTAGAGCACGTTGTCTAGCAAATCGATCTTCGGACTTGTCATGGGGGCCCGTGCCCCTTTGGTTTACCTGGCCATGGCCGCCATCTTCTCCTGCGGCGATACCCTCCGCTCGCAGCAAGGCCATGAACTTACCAGAGCCGGGGCCGAAGGGGTAGCCTTGCAGCAGTCGGATTGGGAAGTGGTGGTTCGACGATGCTGCTGCTACAGCGAAAAGTACGACGGAACTTTCGACGGAGACAAGGTCGGCTTCACGACGGACCATTGCCCTGCCACTGGTTGTATAAGAAAGAATCGGAATCACTCCAGGCCTTGCGAGCCAAATGGTCCATCGAAATTTGACATCACCTGTGAAGTCCAACACTTTTGGTGCTCCTGAGCACCTGCCTTGGTCTGGAGGAGACTTGATTGAAGCCGCCTTGCCGAACAGAAAAAAACTTAATTCTCGTCCCAGAGGCACTCGGTAATTCACGTCGGAGCTGCTTCCAGTTTGGGTTTCGGCCGTTTCCAACATCGCATGCCAAGTATTATGACCATAGTAAACCCCATTTTACGTATGCAGGGCCCTAAACTTCCTGAACCCTAGGGCTAGAGCCGGACAGGAGCCCCTTTTGCAAAGCACTGCTCTGCTCCACCTGCTCCTCCTTTGCATTCTGATGAACACATGGATGCCGTCTGCGCGAAGTGGTAGCTTAGCGTTGGCTCTCGTTTTGCAGTCAGCGGGGTTAGGCCCCCCCCCGTGCCTGGGCCGCGGAGAATGCCCCAACATCAATTTTGGTAAGTGGCTAGGGCCGTCACTGCTTGTGGAATCTCTAGAGTTGCGGGCTTGAGATGAAACCGTGGATAACCCAATGTATAAATCCAGACATGTCAACGCCTAAATCTTTGTTCCTATAAATCCGGACCTCAGCAGATGGAAAGGGGAGGTTCGAAAAAAAAATGATTAATCCTAAGTCCTATGCTCAAAACCCTGAACCACAGCCGAAAATGACTGAAACGACCTAAACTCAAAGCAGTGCAGGAGCTTGGACAAGAACTTCTACATCCAAAAGGCAGCCTTTAGGGTTGGGAGGATGCCCCCCCAAGACAGTCTCTCCAAACTTACAGCTTTAGGGAGGTCGGTTCAGGGTGTAGGTTTGTAGTGTTTCTCAGCTTTGGGGTCAGAATGCGAAATAAATTTTTGGGCCTGACTTCTGGAGTGCCCTTCAGGGTGTGCACAGGGCTTTTAGGGTAGAGGGCCCCTCGAATAGGGACTGAGGGTATAGAGAAGTTGATCAAGGAAAGAGCCGACGTCGACGGTAAAGGGTGCAACAAGGGGCGGCCAGTTGCTGCTGTGTCTTGGCATTCCCCAAGTGGGAGCCAGTGCAAACAGTTGTAGTTCATTAACGGGGGGATCTTAGGTTGATCAGCCTACAGAAGACCCGAACTGTAAACTTCAAACAAAATCCAACAGCTGGAGCATAAGCCCCCCTCTGGATGCAGCGTCAGAGAGAGGGCGAGAGCGAGAAACAGAAGCATTGGGTTTTCAACTGAGATGCCGCGAGCCTACCCCAAGGCCGTCCACTCACTAACACGGTGGGGCACGGGCCTGCCTGGACGACCCCTAGGCCCGGCAGAAAGAAAGGAAAAAGAGAGAAGCATTAGCCCACCTAGACTCGAATTGCTGAGAGGTTTGGCTGGAGATTGGCGGCCTGCTTTTATCACTGCCAGTGCTGTTGGGACCTCAGAGGGCCATGCTCTCTGAGTTGTGTAATATGGCGGCAATCCGATCAGTGGAGCAATGTAACATGTTTCTTATTTTCTGTGCACATATCTGCATATATAGAAATGTATATACACACAGAAACAGTGTCATGTCACAGCAAGCAGTAAAACCCTTCTTGCAACTACATGGAAAAGAACCCATCTTTAGTTTGGGATGAAGGCGGTTGCTAAAAAGGGACCTCCAGGTTTGAGAAACTCTTCGTTTGCGAGTGCTCTAGACCCGAGGCCTGGCATAGGTGCAGCGCGTAGGTACAGAAGCTTCTGCAAGTAAGTTGTCGTAGGACCTACCGATTGAATCTACTTGTGCCTACCAGAACTCCGCAGTCTCATGTAAAGCCCTTTGATACATCCTAAACCCGTAATCTATCTTGGAAAGGCTCATCATCCAAGAGCTCTTGGAGCCGCAGCGCAACCTCTTCAGTGGCTCTTGGCTTGGAGCCCCGGGGCAGTTTGCATTTCTTGTGGGGCCTCTTGGCCAGGCCCACAAAATCGCATTAACATGATTCGAGACTAAGAGAGACTTCTGCTAAAGCTGCCAGCACGGAAAGCAGTTTGGCCCTTCGATTCGGGCTTGCAGACACAGCCCGCCCAAGCAGATCGTGTACTCGTAGTTCCATGCATGCGGCCTGCAAAAGGGACAGGGCCCGAGAAAGCAATTGAATCTTTTACCACCCTCTAGGCGTTAAAGCCCTTTCGGCTCTTAGGACTTAGATCTTTGGGGGGTGTTGGGGTTTGGGTTGCAGGGTTTTGAATGCTGGCTCCGAGCTCTACTGCTCCAGAAGCGACCTCGACGAAATCACTTGAAAGCGTCCTTGTTGCCTTTGAAAAAAGCTTTTGGGGAGCCCTCTGAAGCTTCTTTTTCCATCCGTAGCAAGCTTCTTCCAGGCTGCAGATGGCCAAGAAAGCCTTCACCGGCTGGATGTGCATGGCTCTCAGAGTAATTGGGGTGTTGGGCGTAGTGAACTTGTTTAGTCGAATTGCGCTAGCTAGGGCTAGGGTTTCGAGGGTGTAGGATTCGGAGTCCGTGTGAGAGAGGGAGGATTCGGGGTTTGCGCAAGCCGTAAGCTTTAATTAAGCCTGTTGTGATTTTGCGTGGAGGGCCGATGACCTGCTTCCTCTGTCGTAGTCGTATTCACATACTACATCAGTGTAATCCTCCTATGCCGGCAATCAAGCCTATACCCCGAGTGGGGATGAGGGTTCGTGGCATTGGGACTCGTGGGACACGAACCCCCAAACCCAGAGAGCCCAGTACCCCTGAATTAAGGAATATACCTTGAATTATAGGGGCCTTTATTTTATGATTTAAGGTATATTCCTTAATTTAGGGGTACTGGTCTCTCTGGGAACAAGATGTTCGTTTAGGTGTACCTTCTGAGACTCCAGGCATTGGCACATGGGGTTGAGTGGGGCGGCCAACACGTTGGAGATACCAGATCGCCTGGCTGCAGTCCTTAGCACACTATAGTGATCAGTGCGATGGAACTATGTTCACCAGGTTGCGGTACAGGGACCCAGGCCTGAAATCCCAAGCTAAGCCTTGAACTCAACGTTACACGCCTAGCACTGGCCCTCACCCAAGACACGCCGGAGTAGTTCGATTGTTCCTGCAACAGTCAGCGAGGCAGGCGGTCCAAAGCATACCCAGACTCGTGGTACTTGGGAGCAATTCCTACGTAATTCAGAGTGGTCTTATAGCAAAGAGGTGCCTGTGTGTATTCCTAATATGTTTGGGGGCGGCGACCCACACGAAGGATCCATGTAATCCTGCAGCCCTCAGCTGGGCAGCTTGCCATCATGGAAGGTGCAGCCTTGGTGGCACGCGTCGTCCAGAGCTGGTCCGACCCACAAGCACGGGGTTCTCTTGAAACGGTGCCTTTGAGGGTAGCTTTGAAAGAGCCGTACGCCTGAATAGAATAGCTACATCCCCAAGCTGAATTTAACATGTCAATCTTCAGAGGGGTCTTGAGCTTCAAAACACCCTACCCCTCGCAAAGCCCCGCGGGAGCATCGGTGTGCGAATGGATAGGACTTGACATGTTTGCATCTCACCATCGTATCCTCAAGAGGGAAGCGAGATGTTCGTAAGTCTGCTTCCGGAAGCCTCCCTAAACCCCTAAACCCTAAACCCTAAAACCGGCTCGGGCTTTGCTTTGTAAGCCTTGGGTTCCTAAGCGACTTAGAGCTCCTATGATCGAGGGCAGATGGGTTTAGGGCTTGGGGCATTAGGGCTTTCAGGGTTTGGGGGTTTGAGGCATTATGTCTTGTGTGATTGGGCGAGTGTTGCAGTCAATGATGCTGCAGCTTTGCCTGGCCTTTTTCTTCAGGGTACCCAGCAGTCGCAATAGGCCTGGATGCAGAAAGGGTGTGGGCTTTCCAGGGCTGCATGGTTTTCGTGGCCTTGGTTTTGGTTGGAGCCTTTGGTTTGAAGGTGTTTGCAGGTTCAAGATGGTTCAAGCACCTTCTTTGGAGCCAGTCTGAGTCTATGGGTAGCAAAGGGCCTTGATAATTGGAACGTGACTATAGGAAGTTTTAGGATGTATTATACCCTATAGATATCACGGACTATGAAAGGAGGGTATGCAATGACCGGGAGTACAGGCAACAATGTCCTGCTCGGCACAGCCTGCGGCAGCTGTGTTTGCTTACGTGCAGACTGACACAGGGATTATCGGCAATTGTCGGCCGCCGATTGAAGGAAGATAAGCTGGTGTCAAGGACCATCAGAGTGAGCCCAACAGGTTCATGAAGCCATCCGGGCTGTAGGGGAAAATACGCCAGTCCGGGAGTTCCGCTGCGATACCCTGGCGCAGCAGTGGTAGGAGTAGTAGGAGTAGCGGCAGAGTAGGAGTAACCCATCTTCACAGCTTTCAGCTGAACGTTAGAGCGCTGAGCTGCAAGACATGTCGAAGCCAAAAGACAGCCGCATGAAAGCGTGTAGGAGTAGGGGTGACAGTAGGCACATGCAGGTACCTTCTTGCCCTCAGCCTGCGGTTTACGGCTCCAGGACAAAATACATTACCGAGACCCCTACAGCTACACTTCGGAAGTAAGACACTTACTGAAGGCTTGCAACTTGGACCCACCTCGAGGTTCACAGGCATCGTGTCGAAGTACCTCTCTACGCTGAGCCGATCGGTAGGGGCCTTTTCTCCGGGTTGAGACTCTCAAGCTTTGTACATGGTTCTCGGGGGTAATGATGGCTGCGGCTAGATATCATAGGTGCTCTGTTCGGCTTGGCAAGTTTCGATAGCTGGGCTGATCCTTCAATGGAGAGAAACATGATGATGTTTTTGGATAGGTGGTGGTGCAGTTGGCTTGATGCTTGGGAAGCATGTCGGGCATGTACGGATGATGCGAAGTTGTTTTCGGCGCCCAGCTGCTGCATCCGCGGCCTTGAATCTCGGGTGTCATGGATCTGGGGCTATGAAAGCCCGGGCTTATCCGGCACGTGCAGGCCCAGGTGCTAGATGTCCTGGAGAAAGAACCCAAAGAGCAAACCATGTCTGAGGTGATCCAGTGCATCGCGGTCATTGTTGTTCACATGTGGGACACGGTCTTCTCTCGTGTAGCTCCCAGCAGCCTACAGCCATGCTCCCTGATTGCTGAAGAGGACCCAAGCGGCATGCAATCCGTTTCTTTGAGGACGCAGGTCCGCTAGCCGCTACTTTGAGTCTTGTCTGGTCGTAGAGTCGTAGACACAGATCTCGTTGTCCAGGAGCTGGTTCGTGATGCCGTCAGTAGGAGCTTGATCCGATTGTTGCAGCCACCAATACTGCTGCAGATTACGGCCTTTCAGGCACCTTTCGAAACGAACATGCGCAGAAATACGCCAGCAGCAATGGCAAAGCACCAGAACCGTGCACAGCCTCCAAACTCAAACGGAAGAAAGGCCCCATAACTGGCGAGATACAAGGTCTGCGGCTCGAGCTGAGAAACAAGCACCAAGCCTCATTTTCCTATACAAGCCAGAATCAGAAGCCAGAAGCCCGAAACCCTTCCTAGACCTCTGACCAAGAATCCCAATCCCTGTGTTCAACCCCTAGAGCCCCAAACTGCGCACCCTAAGCCCTACAACCCCTCACCCTAGAAGCCCGGGATCCCGACATCCCCAGAGCACGCTCCCTGCTAATCCCTCAGAGCCCTAAACCAAAACGACACCAAAGCCTACACCTAACAATTTAGAGTCCTTTTAGGACCCCAAAGCCCAAACCCTGAAGGCTAAAATGTAGACACCTGTTTTATACAGAACCGTGCACAACCTTGCCAAACGCCCCACCCCCCCCCCCCACAACATCCCATCGACACTCCCGAAAGAAACCCTAAACCCTAAATCCTAAAACCCTAAACCCCTCAAGCCCTGAACTCCTAAACCCTGAATCCCTAAACCCTAAAGCCCCTTTTTCCAAACTTCCGAGACAAGCGTTGGGACCTGGTGACCTCCTTGCTGGCTCTCGTGGCCCCTCGCCGGAGATCCATGGCGCTCTGTTTTTGGGGTTTATAGGGTATAGGGTTTAGGGGTTTAGGTTTTAGGGGTTAGGGTTTAGGGTATAGGTTTTAGGGTATAGGGTTTAGGTGGGAACTCCGGGCGAATGGAAAGCCTCTTGCAAAAAGGTGGGTTTAGGGGGTTTATAAGTCTTATGGCGCCCCTCTAGCAAGCAGAAGAGAGAGATTTGCAGGGTTTTTGTGCGGGTTTTGTTTCGGTTGTGCTATCCGGGTCAGAGTGATTCCAATAGGTCAGTGTGGCATTTTGGACTGTAGCTTTTTTCATCGAGTCCATTATTGCTGCCAGTTGTTCACGCCTGCATAGTACATGCAGATCCTGGTTATCGTCGAGAAGTCGATGAATAACACCAACTTGCGATACCTAGTGTGCAATATTTGGGATTAGGGTTCTTCTTTTACTTGACCGCCGACAGAAAACACAACAGTGGATAGAATGGGGCGTTTTCTACAGTGGGCCAATACTTGCAGAGCATGTAGAAGTTGGGGCAATAAAGTAGTCTCCATGCTATCCATACCAAACATGGCCTGTGCCTCTTCTCTTGCAACTAATGTGCAGCACGGAACTCACTTGGAGAGCTCCAGGGTTTCTGAGACCTGGGAGCACGCATCATACCTAAGAACTTCAACATAAGAAGGGCGCTCGCTGAGTCGCAGCAGCTTCGGAAGCGTGGAGGCTGCACACCTCACGAAGATGTTCCATGCGAAAGCCCAGCACAGGAGCCCACGCATGCCCTAATTTCAACACCCTCGTTGGTACACCTCAAGTCCAGTCGTTCTCAGCATGGAGTCAGCTGCCAAACCTTGACGCCTAATTCCGTCCCCAACAACCGTGGCAGCAGAGTCTGAAAACATGGCGCTTTTTCCCAGGTCCCCTCAGCCTAGACCACATCCCAAATTTGAAAGAGCCCCGTATCAAAAAGCACGAGACAGTCAAACAGTTTATATTCCAGTCATGCCGGCCACCCTAGAACAAACCCTGAAATCTGAGGAACGAGGCCTAGAGACTAGTGTCCGGTTTCGGGCATGTGGCTTAAAGTGAGTTAATGTTTTGGTTTGGAGTTTACGGTTCAGCTTCTCGTGCCTCTTGGGGAGTTTAGGCTCTTGGGCTTCATGACTCCTAAACCACCCCGCGAGCGAACGGGAAGTAAAGGTCTGAATGGTTTGTAAACTATTCCCTCGGGTTCCCTACTTACTGTTGCAACATCGACACCGAAAAAAGCCTAGTCAACTATTGTTCTGGCTCCAGCCAAAGCCCAGCAAGAAATCATAAAACCATGCAGAACTCAAATACATCCCCATGTACACTCCCATAGCAAAGGCCCCCCTGACTACTCCTTAGGTCGGCCTCAGTGCCCTTATGTTCCAAACTGGGCGGAGGCCACCCGGAACCCTGCGCCGGGTGGACTCTTACAGCTTAGGGTGAGTCACGGGCAGGGTGGGGGGTGCAAGACCTCTGTGGGTTCTGATAAGGCAGAATAGTAGTAGGGTGGGCGTTTGGGGTTTGTAGATGGCTTTGAGGTCATGGTCCTGAGACTAGTGTCATGTTTCCCAGACCGGCCGCAGTATCGAATCGAGGAAAACCCTCAGCGCTACATCCCCGAATGTACCCTACATGGTAACTTCGTCCTGGCCAGACGGGAGGCAAGAAATCCCGCAACACCGTAACCCTACAGCTGTAATCCCTAAACCCTAAAACGTACAATGCTAAAGCCCAAACCTCAAATGAGTCCAGCTGAGTGAAACTGAAGGCAGGACCTCGAAGCCCAAGGTTTGATGCTCTCTGCTTTGCGCGGCTCTGGTCCTTGCTTTTTTGTATTTTAACGTGCAGCTTGCAAAAAAAAAATATATATATATATATATAGAAATGGTACCTCACTTCATTAGCCATTTTTTGAGGCCCCGAATTAAGGCCCTAGTTAAGGCTGCAAGACAGACAGCTACATGCGGTTCTTCGGGAGCGGCCGCGGCCAGGATGACCTCCAATTCGAAGGAACTTCAAGCAGCTGGCACCGGCCCCAGTCTCGTCGTGGAATGAATATAGGGGGCGTATCCTTCGGCCGGTACGACGATGTCGTTACCTGTCTGTTTGAGCGCTCGTTGTTGTTGCTTAGGAAAGAAGTTTCCGTGGTGGTGAGAAAGGAGTGTGTGATGTGTGGCTTCTGCAGCCCTTCAGCTCGGCTCAGCTCCACTCAAGCCGTCCCTTCAGGCAGAGGCCAGGATGCTCCATGTCCAGCGAATGTCGGGAGAGGAGCTGGCTAGCTTCCCTGTCGGAACCTTCTTGCGCGTGAGTGACTTGAAAACGGCCCTTCAGAGCAATCCGGAGCTGCGTGGACAAAGACTGAAGCTGGTCTGTGATGGCGTGGTTCTGCCGGACGATCACAAACTTGAGTCGGCGGTCGCATTGCTACTCGTGGTATCGCGCCCCTTCGTTGAGGCAACAGAAAGCTCCGTGCAAAAGCTCGTGCTTGCTGCCGAAAAAGGGGCCGTGTCAGAGGTTGAGGAGATGCTGCAGCAACCCTATGATCCCGACCTCCGCGGCTTCGTCCGGAAATCGTTCGCTGAAGCTTCCTCCCATGGTTACCAGACTCCCCTCGCTGCTGCAGCTGGCTCTGGCCAAACTGAGGTCGTTCGCCTGCTGTTGGCGGCTGGCGCGAAAGTGAACCTTCGATCGCAAAACCAAGGGTTTTGGCGGAAGGCTGCACGCAACCCCAAAGTCAACCCCAACGCAACCCCTCTGTTTCAGGCTTCCTGCGCAGGCCATGCAGAGGTCGTGAGGTTGTTGCTGGATGCCCAAGCCGACCAACACCAGGTGTGCGGTGTGGAAGCGCTGTCACCGTTCCATGCCGCAGTAAAACGCGGCCGGACTGAGGTTGCAGGCCTGTTGCTGGAGGCCCGTGCCGACACAAACAAAGCGCATGGTGACGAAACGCCCCTGGCGACGGCGATCTTGCAAAACCACCCGGACATGGTGGCACTGCTCTTGAAGAATGGCGCCGACAAAGAGCAGGTTGTCGATTTCGACACACCTCTTGGACTCGCAGTCCGCAGAGGCCGGCAGGAGATTGTAGCTCTCCTGCTGGAAGCCGGCGCTGACAGACACCGGAGGTTCGGGCCTGTGAGGGAGCGGCCCATGGCTGTAGCAGCCAAATACGGCTACACCGCCATCATGCGCCTGCTGCAGCCAGGGCCTGGTTCGGAAGACTCCCCGAAGAAAGGACCGTTTTAGCTCGGAAAATTTAGGGGCGAAAGAAGAAGAAGAAATGAAGGGCTTTGGTGGCAAGGGAAAGGAGATAGATGCCCAGAGCATGCCATGAGGGCGATGAGGGGCGACCGATATTTACAAATTTTGACAACATATCGTCGAGGTTTCGCGCATGCCTGAGGCATCGCGTTGGAGGAGTGTACAGATGTGTACAGTGTACAGATACCTGTCGAACCTCTTGGGGCAGCTGTAGCCGTCGCAGGCTTTGCCCACATCATTCCGCTGGATCGAAAGCTGGGGGAATGCTCACAAGCCACCTTGAGCTGTCGGACAAGGATATTTGCAGTGATGGTTTTCTTTCCTTGCTTTCGCCGAAATAATTCTGAAAACGCAGCATTCAATCACCCAGCAAGAAGTGAAGATATTTCCACGACACGAAGGAAGCGAGGATACGCGTCACCAAGATGAAAATATACGGTCTTGGCGCGCACAGATTCCTGACATTTCAGGTCCAGCCGATGGCCGCGCCCTCGGGCATTGTTTTCGACCCACACATAACTCACATAACAGCAGCATCTGGTCGCGTTTCATTTGAAAACAAGCTGGCACAAAAAGGATCCAAAGTTGGCAGAAGACAGCGGAGCGAGGGCTTGGCGGGTTTTGGGACAGGGCCCCCTCAGAGAAACTCCGGGGGCCTCGAAAGCCTCAACGCACCCAAGCTCTACCCAGGTGGGCCGTCCGTGGCACCACCGGGGCCCGAGGCCGATATCCGGATCGGAGAAAGGGGCTTCTGCCCTTTTTTACTTTGGGATTAAGGGGGGGTTGAGCTTTAGGGTGTAGGGCTTTAACAAAAAGGGTTGAGGTTTACACTTCGGGGTTGACTGTTGAGCCTGTTTCCATTGCTGGGGGCGATAGGCGATGATTTGATGCTAATGTAATTGTAATTGTTGTCATCGCTGCTACTACGACCGTAACCGCTTTGTAACTCCACCTAAACGTTCAATCAGCTATTGTTCTTGTTATGTGATCATTGGTCTTGGCTTTGCCCGAGTGTGAGTGTCAACAAAAACACATTATCCACCAAGCGTGGCAGTCGTGTTTGAAGCTCTCTGACTCTGTTTGCAGAGGGTGCAGGGCTGTGGGTTGAGGTCCAGCGAGTCCAGCCTTGTGGCATCCGTAGCAGTCAGCAGCACTCGCTGCGAAGGCTACTGGCAGCATTATATATATATATATATGTATATGTATATGTATATGTATATGTATATATATATATACATTATATATATATATACATACATTATATATATATATAATATAGTATATATTATATGTATTGCCGAAGTTAAAGCAGCCACTGCTCGGCAGATGCGGAGAGCCGTCGCCGAGCCGCCGGTGAGCGGAAGCCTGGGCCTCATCATGCAGGTCATGGACGAGAAGTTTCTGGGCGCTTCAAGTTTTCAAGTTCCCTGCTGGACATTCCGATCGAACTTCGAAGCTTATGTTGGGTTCGGAGTCCGTCAGCCGGCGTTTGAGGCTCAGTCCGGAGAACCCAGGATAAGGCGTACAGAAGCAAGAGCTAATTTCTTGCTCGACGTCCATGTAAAGTTGATGAAGCCTGGTTGCCGACATTTGTGCCATTGGCATGTTTTGAAGCAGCCATAGCCTTTTTTAAGATTAAGTTCTAGTAGACATGCGAAGAAAATATGAGCCTCTGATGTGCAGTTACCCACTACAGGCAGTAGATCCACTCCCTTACTCTGAGCCTCGACTCCTTGGGAATCCAACATTTTCCTAACTTCTCCATTACACGTCCAGCTTCGCCTCTTTGTCGACTCGGCAGCGTGCTGCGTCAAACCATATGCAGTCAAGCAAGCGCCATCTGCAAGTGCCGGTGGGATCGAAGCCGTTCATGCTCTGACTAGCGCCAGCCGTAGTAGCCTTCGCGCTGCGCTTTAGGACTTCTACTCAAGTTTTAAGGACGTCAGGATTCAGAGCTTTGGCCTTTGGCTGTCGGGGTTTTTATTCAGGGCACTCCTCTGTCTTGATCACTTTTTTGCGGAAGCTATGGAGACCAAGCAGCCGGAACGGGACGGAGAGCACGAAGTGCAGTCTCAGTCTCTGCCGGAGTCGGACGAGGAAGTGTCGGACGAATCGCATGAGGCCGACGACACCGCTGCGTTTGAGGAGTGGTCTCACGCCGCGTTTGAGGAGTGGTGTCAGACCTCAAAGCCTAGACTCCCGTCAAAAAAGCCTGAAGCCGAAACCTCACACTCTTAAGTTCTGTAGTCTTCACCCCCAGGAGCACATCGCAGGGATCGTCTCAAGCATGGACCCAGCGCAACCAGACATCATTCAATGCGTGCGGGCATCGCAAGCTCTTGGTTGCTTTGGACGAGCTTTCCGGCCTGCAGGCAGGGGGAAGAGCCGCCGAAGTTTCCCAACCAATCACATCCAGGAGTTTTGGAGCCACAGCTGGCATGGCAACGCATGGCACAAGGTCCTGACTGCATTGTATTTGTACAATGGCATGACGGCAGCAGTCTTTGCATCACTGGGGACTCTACTTCTCTGGGCACTCGTCGCATGGAGTTATCTGCCAGTAGAACCTCTCTGGTGGAGAGAACATCCCGCAGCTTCCTTCTGGTGCACCGGAACGAGCATTCTTCTCTATTGCTTGGCACTCTTCTTCTCGAAGCCTCGTCGGCGAGTCTTTTTGGATATTTTGTGCATTGATCAGGAGGACACTTCCTTGAAGGCGGCAGGCGCGCAGCCGGACACCCAACCCGAGGGCACCCGAAAAAACTGCTTCCAAAATGCGTCACACCATAATTGCCTGACCGAAAGTGTGCTGACAGGCCTGGTTAGCATGGGAGCCTTCCTCAAGTGTTCCGATTCGATGCTTGTGCTCTGGGATCCCTCATATACTCATCGCCTTTGGTGCCAGAGCCGAACCTAGTGCCAGCACGTGTTTCTTTAGGAAGTTTGCTTTAAAAAGTGGACGAAAACCAGAAGCCTGGATTCTGCTGAATTTTCCCCGAGATCAGCCGAGGTGCGTTTTTGAGATGGCCGCATATCTACACAGCCGCCCGGCAGACAAAGTGAAGCTCATCATCCGACCAACCATTCTGGGCCCGGTCTTCATCTCTTTGCCAGTGGCTTTGTTTTTCTTCATGCTGGTGACCAGCGTGATCCCCACTGCCCAGCATGCAATCATGTGGCCTCTGATGGGCCTGGCCGTCTACGTTGGCTTCTACAAAAGCTGTTCCATGTTGCGCGAGTACTGGCGGTCGGTGGAGCTGTTGGAGAAGCGGGTCGCAGGCTTCACCGCAAAAGAAAGCCTGTGCTGGTGCTGCTCAGCCGATCACAAGGATGCCGACGGCGAGTCTATAGTTTGTGATCGGCAAATCGTTTTCAGATGCATTGTCACATGGTTCGGGAGCCTCGAGAACTTCGAGACCAGGGTACGTACAGATGTCTTAGAATGCTTAGTTGACCAGCTGTCCAAACAGATCTTCACCTACAAGCAATGTGCTCTGGCTGCTTTGCCATACTGCTGGTCTTCGTTTGACGTATCAGCCGTGGAAGCTTCATTAAGGATCCCCGACTACGACCTCCTCTTCCAACCCTTTGACTTTGGTGGAGTCATGAGACCTGTTTGTCGAGGCCTCGGCTGGGCTCTTGGATTTCTGCCGGTGATATTTTTCCTTGCAAGCAGGCTTGGATTCCTCCTACGACATAAGCGTGACAGCATCTGTGCTGAAGTCTTGGTCAACTCTTGCATCCTTGTTGCCATGATTGCTGTGTTCTTTGCCCTCTTGATGCTTGAGCAAGCCTGCTGGAGTTTCGAGGCCTCCAGTTCCCAAAATCCGTGGTGGAATGTAGCAAGATAGTGTCTAACAACCGCCGCACCCCCTGTTAAAGTTATGACAACAGCGCATGTAGCTCGCCTTGAGCCCGGCAGCCGGAATCGGCTCCGGCATCTCCCTTGTACCGTAGTCTGTGAACTTCGAAGGTTCCCTGTTCATGTCAGGGCCCATTGGGATACTACAACCTGGCGTACCACCGACTTCCCGGCACGGGCGTGTTCGTCGGCATCCTGCTCTCCACCGCTGCCATTCTGTTCCCAGACGAGCATCAGCAGTAGTGATGCCGCCGACGTCCTTAAGGCTTCTTCTAAAGCCTTAGCGAGCCTGAACCTTCAAACTCGCGGCGCCCCATCCTGAAAGTTACATCGTAAGCTCTAAACCCTAAAACCCCAACCCTTTGTCAGCCTTAAGCTGTAAGCCACTAACCCTCAACCATCAGTCAGGTTCTGCTGCATTGGCCCTCGGTGCTGTGGCAGACGGAGTTTTAAGCCAGCTTCTGAGCAGCGCACGATGAGTCCTGAACCGGACAGGGGGGTTTAGGGTTAAGGCTAAGGCCTAAGGTGTCATTAATGTTTTATTTATCGGTGGTAGTTTGCTTCCTGCTGATGTTGGAAGCAAACGCTTCCGAGGACAACGTTTCACACAACACGATTGTTGCGGATGAGACCCAGCCGCGACAAATGCCCGGGTGCCAGCCACCTACAGCAGCTGCAAAAACTAGCCTTACCATCATCATCACCTCCATCATTGTCACCAGGTGTGATGCCTGAACAGCGTAAGCATGCTCATCTTCAATACACCATCATTTATTTGCATTTTGGTCTGCAAAAGCAATCAAGAAAGCAAACAAACAAACATACGTGAATACCGAACAGCATGCACACATACACACCCACATGTGTGCAATGAATGTACAAATAAACACATCTACATAGACAGGCACAGATATACACATGCACCTGCATCCAACTACACATACATACGTACATACACATACATACCTACGTACATGCATACATACATACATACATACATACACAAACGCAGTGCGTGTGCGTGTGTACGAAGAGGAAAGGGGTGGACCCATGTGGCTACAGTGTGTGTGTATATATATATACACATACACGTGTGCATATTCCTATACATACATACCTACATACATACATATATGGAGCATGTATATACATATAGATATATAGAGTATATACAAGTAGAATTAGGTATAGATATACTCGGTTATTGTCCTTGTATGTATGTACGAGCACACACACTGATAGCTGCACGCATATCTGCGGGCAAAATCATGCGTAGGCAGTTGCGCATGTGCATGCACGAACCCGTGCGTGTTATACTTTGTGTGAGAGAATAAAGCACAGTACCCTATCCTCAAGGAGGCGTGTGAAAAAATAATCAGGGTTATTTGATCTAAAGCTGAGTGAGCAGTGCACGCTCTACTTTAGGGTAGTGTTTGTGTGCTATCCTGGCACAGCGTACTTTCGCAGTTCTGAGTGTTTGTAAGTTGTTAGGCTTGTGTTGTTTTTGTGGGTTTTGTTTTAGGTTTTACGTCTGTATATGTATATATGTGTGTGGGTGGGTGGGTGTGTGTGCGTGCGCGTGTGTCTTTGCATATGTGTGTGTGTGACATCGACATAGCCATTTATGATTTTTCCAAGTGTTGGCAGGAGCACGGTCATTTTCTACTATGGTTGGGACATACTTGCCATCTATATTCTGCCATGTAGATGTTTCCCTTCTACGTACACCATGTGTATGTATATGTATATATGTATGCATGTATGTATGCATGTACATAAGTACGTAGGTAGCTGTGTAGGTAGGCAGGTAGGCATGTAGCAGAACGCATCATATATATGTGTGTATATATATATACATAGATATGTGTGTATGTATCTTATGTTCGCATGTATATGTATATACATATGTATGTATGCATGTATGCGTCGATGTATGTACGTATATACAGTAATATATATATATACAGTAATATATATATATAGGCCTATATGCACTTGGTTTCACGCATAAGCACGTTGCACACATGTGCAATCCATGTGCACAGAGACACGTGTACACACATAACTTGTGTATATACTTAAACACAGGGAAGACAATACCGCGGGTTCATCCCCGCCATCCTTTGCCACATGATGCCTATCCATGGCCCCATCGTGCGAACAGATGATGCTTAGAGAGACCTCCGAAGGTGGTGCGGATGCATGGCATGACCGTCAGTTCATGCATTGTCTTATGCTCTCCTGGTGGCGTGGTGCCTTGCAAATGATGCCGGGGGATCTTTGGCCTGGAAACATTTGAATCGCCGCAGTACCTTGGGGAAATGATGTGGGGTTTCCTTTGCATCTCGCTATTTAAATGTCGGGAAGTATAAGCACCAGTTAGTGACAGTTGGTGGTCGTGGTCGTCATGGTAGTCGTGGTGCTGATTCACTGTGTGGGGATCTCCACTGCCATATCCACTATATGGCTATATATATATATACATGCATGTGTATATATATATATATATGTATATATGAAAGAGGATACGTGTGTGTGTGTATATATATATATGCATATGTCGAGGAAGCATCTAGCTCGTGATTACCTTCGGGATATCCGGCGACCGGAGACGAGCACCCTTTATCGGAGTAGCGGCATTGCAGGCGAAAGAGCAGACCATGCCACGACCATAGGCGTGGCCCCCCAATAAAAGGGCTTAATATGTAGAATAGGGTTTTGGGCTTACAAAAAATTATTATGCGAGAAAACCTAAGGAATAGTGTCCGTATTTATTTGTATTTTTATTCTGGCTTCTATCTTATATACCTTTGTCAGTCTATGTAAAGCCCCAATCCGGGGCTATCGGCGTTTTGGGCCGGTACAGAAAAGGGGCTATCAACAAAATCCTAGGCCATCAGGGCGGATTGTCCTCCTTTGCACGGAGCACGCCAAGGCCCGCTATTGTTATCGAGTTGGTTCAGCATTGTCCAGGGCCGGCATTCAGGGGAAGGTTTATCCTTTTTGAATCAATGTTCGGCGTTGGTCGTCAAGCTTCGTGGCCGGCATTCATCAAGTCCGTTGCTGAAAACAGGGCTTGGCAATCGCCTGTTGCCAGCTTTATTTGGCACGATTCTTTTCCACGCGTGGAAGAAAAACCTTGACTCATATGGAAGGCTCTGGGTTTGGGAGATATTGCCGCTGAGTGTCGTTCAGGGTCTGGGAACTAGTGCGCAAGATGCCATGCAGGTTTGTCTATGCGCTTGGACTTTTGATCGTCGCAGGCTGAACGCGCTCATCCAGTCACACTGACAGGTCCGTATGAGATCCAGTAGGCTAAGCCCAGGGACGGAAGCCCATGAGTACTTCATTTGTTGTGTTGTTACTGCTCTTCTCGTCCTGGGAATGGCATGCGCCTCGAACCTGCCCAGAAAGCCCGCAGCTGAAGGAGCACTGGCCTTGCGCCCGATGCGCAAATCCTCTGCGAGCAACAGCGCCCAGTGGGATCACTTCCAGTGATTTGCAACTGGTGGAGCCGTGGTTTGGGTTGGATGCTTACAGTCAGCTTCAGGATTAATGTTACAGGTTGAAGGCTCCGGGCCTGAGAATGTGACCTTCCCGAGCAATTCCGCCTGTCCAGGACCAAACTTGGGCAGTGCATTATCACATCTGCGAGAATATACTACGAGACGACGACGACGACTACTACTACTACTGCTACTCCTACTCCTACTACTACTGCTGCTGCTACCACTACAACTACGACTGCTGCTGCTGTTGTTGCTGGAACGGCAACTACTGCTACTATGCTACTATGCTACTGTTGCTACCACTGC